TTTTCAAATATTTTTCTGTCCTACTTGTGTATAAATGTATATACTAATATTTTTCTGATAAACCCATCACTTTGTTTTTCCTTTTTAAAAGAAACGAACAATATCAAACCAATCAGTGTGCCTGGTTATTCAGTTCAATGTCCACGATTCAGTCCAAACGGTACTTACTTAATTTGGCTTCAAAACCCCGTTGGTGGACCACATGGCCAATGTGTTTCTTTGGTTGGAACTCAATGGCCAATGAAGTGCATAAAACCTGAGGTTCTAGTACCAATCATCAACAGTCCACACAGTGGTGGTGATAGCAGTAATACTGATGGATTTCCAGGTAACAATTTTTCTATCATAGTGTGTTACGAAGATTGATGAATCTGAAATGTCACACATCTTGAACTGACTTTGTTTAGACAACAGTTGAAACCAGGAAGTGTCAGCAGTACACATTGGCTAATCTACCAGGAATCAAATCTAATATCTTCAGAATTCTCAATGTACGCTTGACCTTCCATCCATCTGATGGTTTATGTTTCATAATAAAAATGAAGCTAGGGTTTAGTGATGCAAACAGCTATCTAGTACTTCCTGATTTCCCATTGGTTATTTAACTATAGCTATTCTGCAGTATAAACTAAAAGATATTGATTTATTTAACATATCCGAAGCTTATTTATAGTCTGATCTGTTAGATAACAATAACCCATGATTGGTCAACGCAGAAAGACAGGCATATCTTGTTACATTAAATATTGAAGATCAATTTATATATGTAAAATTGATTTTGTTGGAATGATTTGTGAGAATAAAAAAAATCACTGGTTGATGTACAATTATTATACAACGTGTTTTAATGATGGCTGCTGATGAGACTCAGTTATTGATCTCAGCACTTGAATGATTTGAAATTGTCAAATACAAAACCACTAGTCCGAAAAAATAGGTTTTTCATGTTATCAAATGGTATGCTTATATCAAAATACTATCACATAATAGACATTATAGAATGTAATATGTCATTGACGGAAGTCAATTTTAAAGGTCATTCATTCCCTCTATCAATGAAGGCATGACTTTGAGGTCTAATTCTAGTCCTACCATATCAGTTTACTTAAATCTTATTTGATAATATTTTATCTTTTTATATTTTTCAGGACTATATTGTAAGTTATCAGACCGTTGTTGGTCTAGCGATAACCAGTATATATTAGTCTCATCATGTTGGGGATTCGAAGTTGTTGGACTTCTTATTTCGATAACTCAATCAATCGCTCAATCAAAGCCAATTATATACAAACTGCCTAAATTATATTTAACATCTGAGGGGACTCAATTATCATCCATATCAATTTTAGATGTGTACGATGATATTCTAGTGGCTTCTGTCAGTTCTCCAATTCATCCACATCATATGGCTGTGTTAAATTTAAAGAATCTGGATTCTGCTAATTTGTCAAATGATCTTAATCGACGTCCGTAAGTGTTATATGTTTTAATTTATCATGTATATATACCTAGAAATTACCGAAGATAAAATTGTTTACTGAATTTAAATAAGTAGTCTAAATTAATACGCAAGAAACGAGAGACGTAAAGAATGGGAACAACGAATGTCAAAGAATTGACATGTCTATACCGACGTCTCACCCCTTAATCCAGACACATTGAAAGTCTAGAGTTGCAATTTGTTATTAAGGATATGTTGTAACTGCAGAATATAACCATGAATCTTACAACAGTAGTACGAACAGAAAGGACGGGTAGATGAGGAATTATTTGACTTCCAAAAGAAATCAGATCAATATCTGAATACATTGAATTTTCTATGATTTTGATTGACATTATGAATCGATCAATGTTAGACCACCATTAGAAGTACTACACGGCCGTTTCGTCCAATTATAGTACTCATCAGCAGTGCACATACAAACCCGGGACGTTCGGTCTCACGCGTGAAGCTTTAACTTCTGGATCACTTACTTGCCATACAACAGTGTTAATGTCTAACTTTAATTTTCTTTGATTTATTTACTGACCTTTATATAGATTGAACTGAGTAGTCATTAAACTATTCGCTAATCTTAGATATACATAGATCATGAAATTAATCGTCGATAACTAACAGATTGTTGGGGACGTTAGATCCACAGAACTCACTTGATAAGGGTCCTAATTTCGGATTTTTCATGTTTTCGCGCATAAGTTGCTCAGTTGACCTTAAGCTTACATTTCTCACTCGGGAAATCCTTGACTGTCGTCATTGGTTGATGAATTATTTTAGTACGCTATTTTTGGGGCTCTCCCAAGGACGTTTCTATCATGTATACATAAACTCGATTTGTCAACCTCATATTTTTTGGGTGCTTGTAGAATACGCTTTCTACGCCATATCAAAACTTCTTGCTATAGTTAGCATGGCCGGGGACAAATGGATTAGAATAGCCTATCGTGTCACTGAATCATTTATCTTTGCTCTTGTTTACCGACTAAGGTGAACAACTCGTGATAGTTTCAAGGATATCAGTTGACAAGCATAACACATATATAACTAATTAAAATAAGTCATATCAATACTCCTTCAAAAATAAGCTAATATGTTTTTCAAATTTATTTCATATGTTACACAGTTCAGTCATACTAAAATGTCCATAGTATATATCAGCAAGTATGATACATTGTACACTGTAGTTATTTGATAGATGACTTAAGATTCAGATTAACAGTTTGTATATTGAATTTTAGACGTTATCGATGCTATGAGGGCTAGATAGTAGAAGTATTAGCAGTAATGGAGAAGATTAGGGATCGAAGATATTATTCAATAAGTATAATTTAGTGAGGTAACTTTGGAAAGAGGAAGATAAGGATTATGAGGACCGTAGCTGTTACCTTGACGTGGTGGTCGGGCTTGCCCATCGTGATGAACCAACGGAGCTCTGTTGGCTGGAACACATGTTCCTGTAGGTTCTACCATGCCAGGCAGGTCGATTGGAGAACGATGAGAATAAAAGCAGCTACTCAAGGTCTGACGGCGAAGTCGCACTGCTGACTGTAGAGGGGTGTGACAGCAGTAAGGTGTTTCCCTCGGACAACCAGCATCTGCAGTGATGCTGCCTTCTCACAAGGAAGGAAGGGGTTAGTAAATGTCGACCCTAAAATTTTCACTCATCACCTTACCTCACGGATTTCCGTCTCCGCTGGTAGGGGCTTTTAAAAAAACGGAGCTAACACTTTAAAAACCTCATAAAAAGGCCGTGTGTGACTGACCTCAAGCAGTTGTCCTTTAGAATCTGTGGTGACGCTCTCAGGTCGTTAAGACCGACACTAATCTACCTTCTTTTTCAGGTCCCTCAAGAAACAACCTTCCACGGTGTGGGCAGCCGGGAGGTGACATCCGCCCTCATACCCGTAACAGCACACGAGACCAAATCGGTCAAAATCAAATCCTTCCTACACCCCTTAATATCCCCCTTATCTCCACGACTAACTCTTCTCACATTTCTTTATCACCCCACACCGCTGATGCAATCGATTCGAGTTCCCGAAACGTTATTCCTGGTCTCCTAAAACGCCGTTCTAGAATATATGTTGGAGCTTTTGATGTCCGGACAAGAAAGGTTAATCACTTGGGAAACACTAAACTCACATTTTAATTATTTTTTAAATTAACAGTTAAATATGCATGATAAATTAATAACCGATTCATTTTCTTTATCCTACTAAAATTTCAATTTCTTAGATGGTTAATTCTTTCTGATGGAATTGATTTCAAACAAAATCATATACGTTCATTGAAGGGTATTGATTACTCGGTTCATCAAATAGAACTGGAAAATAAATCAAATAACCGGATTAATTCATTTGAATGCTTACTAATGCATCCTAAACTTCAAAATGACGGTTCAATTGAACAAATAGACAGTAAGATTTGCCAAACTGACCATGATCATTTTTGATAGTTTTAAAAAGAAAAATTGTATACAGACTTCTATTTGTATGGTGTCTAGTTGTTAATTATGCTATCATAAGTAGAATGAAAGAGGAATTCAGTCAATAAAATAAGTGACTGAAAATTAAACTATACAGCATGTACTATCAATCAGAAAACAGCGTATATTTGTGTCAAACTGGGATGTCAGCGATTTACAAAGTAAATTAAACTACATAGATTGAGATTAAATAAGCTGTTCACAGTCAGAAGAATTTCAAAGAGTGCCACACATAAGTAATATCAAATAATGAAAGAGGAAAAGTCTTCCATTACAAATAAAATAATAAGCTGAAGGATTCAAATGGATACGTTCAATAGTTGGAGTATGCAAATTAGTAAAATGACTGAGTCTACTCACACTACTGAGTATTAATAAGTAGTGTCACGCAACACGCTAAAAGAGCGGTCAAAGAGCAAACTTTATTACCATACATAAAATGTGATGCCGTATATTTAATCGAGTTCTAATTTAATTGTTTCTTGATCTACGTTCCTAGAATTTTTATCACGCAGATTTACCTGATTGTAATAAGTAGTTCATTGCTGAAATCATGAATCAATCATTGTTAGACTACCATTAGAAACTTGGAAGCACTAGACGTGCCGGCATCCGTCGGTGTCAATGTCTCATTCTGATCAATCTAAGGATTTTGCGCGATCCCACCCATTTGTCTTCAGTAGTTACTGCCTACGCCCGACAGGGTTGAACTCAATTGACGACGTCTTACTAGAACTCCTAAAATCTCCTCACGAAGCTAGTCACTAGTGATAAAATTGTACGATTCTTCACTTAAAGTTATGGAGATGAGTGCCATGCCAAGACGAAACGGCCATCCAGTGCTTCCAGGTTTCTAACGGGTGGTCTAACAACTATCGATTCATGATTTTAGCAATAAACAGCAATCTCCATAACTCTAATTGAAGAATAAATAGTTCATAATGAATCGCAGTTAAATGAATTTTCACACTTAACTACTATTTTCCAGCATCTGACGTCACATTCTCAAAAGATCTAACAGAAATTGTTCCAAGTAGACTTCGCGGTTTAATTGTCATGCCTCATGGTGGTCCACATTCACATTCAAGCGCTTCTTGGTCTCCAATTATTGGCGGATTTTGTGCAACAGGCTTTGCTTGTTTACTTATTAATTATCATGGATCACTTGGTTATGGCAATACGTTTGTTCAAGATTTAATTGGACATATCAGTGAAAGAGATGTGTCTGATTGTGTTCAAGTAAGCAGTACTTCCATTTGTTTCTAGTTTTTTTCCAAAAGAAAAATGAACAAGCTCAAGATTTTTCTTCTACGGCATACATAAAATTTGTAAAGCTATCGTCTCATGGTTATTATCTGAAAAACTGACTGACTGTCTGTCCCTGCAATACCAGCCTTTTAACTGCGGTAATTCCTGTTTATGCGAAAATAAGTAATGCCAGCTTTTCACCTGATCATCCGACTTGAGTTTCTCTTTTGAGTACTCTTCTGAAGATGTTCGAAACCAGATTGACCGGTGAATTATCGAAATTATCTAAATTTCAAACTCAGAGATTATTTCAAATATAATTTTATGTCTAATATCTTTTGCATACTTCGAGCCTTATTCCTGTAAAATGGTTTGTTCAGATCTTAATAAACTGTTAGAAAGGAGTACTTGGATTGTTATGATCATTTTTTTAGTTGCTTGAATCGATATTTTGTGAGACTTAATGATGATATTTACTGCCTTGAATGTTCATTGTCATCCAATGGTTGAAAGTAAATGTACAGTTACAAAAGAGTTATCAATGCTAAACTTGTAACATGCTTTGAATTTTTCATCTGCTAATAGTTGTTACTGTTATATCTGGTGATGTTATCACTGTTTATATCGACATTCTTGCTGCTTTCACCTAACTTTCGACCACCACTGCAATTCCCACGACGCAAAGTAAGAACATTAATGTTGTAGTTCAGTGAAGACTTATTGACTCCACAAACAAGTCCTGAAATAATTTCTCTATTAAAACAGAAGAAAATAATTTATATACTGGTTTTTATACACAATCATGTCACATATAAGAACAAATACATGAAACTACTGTAAATGCGTGCACTGAAGGATAGTTCACTGAAACTGATGTAAAGATTATACAAATCGCACTGAACAAAAGTTCACATTTGTCACATTGAACAAAGTTTGTATTTAATTGATACACGAAAGCATTGACCTTGAAATGTCACACTAAATAAAGTCCATACTTGTCACCGTGGCGAAAATTCATTATGAGTTGTCCCAAAAAATGTATTTATTTGGATGATGTTATGGTTTTATCTCGCCCTATCAGTTGTTGTGATAAATAAAAATTATGGATATTGCATTTCCATGATTACTTTTCGTTTGCTACTTTCACTCTTACATGCATAACTACCTATATATCAAAATTAAGAAATTCACATGTTATGATTTAGAACAACAGATATTAGTGAACCTATATGATTTCCAATTAGATCTTTATTAGGCTCTACTCTAATTTACAATAATATTTGTATGTGTGTATGAAATTGTTAAACCAGTCATACTAATAATAGTAGATAGATAGAAATGTATCAGCCAATCAGAGAACGATGTAATTAACCAATGAAACACGTTCAAAAAATTATCTGATCAAAACTAGCTACTCATAAGTAATACAATTTTTGAAACCATGAATCGATCAATGTTAGACCACCATTAGGAACCTGGAAGCACTGGACGGCCGTTTCATCCTGGTATGGGACCCCTCAGCAGTGCGCATCCACGACTCCTGCACCCCGCAGGATCCGAACCCAGGACCTTCGGTACTGTGCGCGAACGCCCTAACCGTTAGACCACTGAGCCGGTATCCAACGGTGTTAATGTCTAACTTGATCAAATTCACGGAGTTGCGCAACCTCATACACAGTCTTCGGTAGATACTACCTACACCCGAACAGGTTGAACTTCACTGGTCACGTCTTCCCACTAGAACTCGGAGAAGATTCCACACGAAGCTAGTCACTAGTGAGCACAGGTAATTTGCATTATGGGGTTGTGAAGATTGTTAAGTTACACAATTTTTGAAACCATGAATCGATCAATGTTAGACCACCATTAGAAACCTGGAAGCACTGGACGGCCGTGGATACGCACTGCTGAGGAGTCCCATACCAGGACGAAACGGCCGTACAGTGCTTCCAGGTTTCTAATGGTGGTCTAACGTTGATCGATTCATGGTTTCAAAAGTTGTGTAACTTAACAATCTTCACAATCCCGTAATGCTAATACAGTTATGTTACATAAATCTTAGAAGTTATTCCTGTTTCAGTTTTTGTGAACAAAATAGTCAACAATGAATTTCATTTTGAACATAATCTATATGATATTTTCGTACTGATATTCGGGGATTTCGATTTCAATTGTCTGTCTTGGTTCTGAACCATTTTATCCGTTTATTCTCTCAAACTCTTATGGATTTGCTCATTGCCATTGAATTTATTATTTTAATAGTTGATATAAACATTATTGCAACGTATTATTTCTTATACACATAGTGTCGTCTGTTTGTTTTTGTGCGTTATCTTTCCTTTTTTTCCCTCTTGTTTCCCCTCTTTTCAGGCTACTGAATATGCATTGAATTATTTACAAAAGTATGATTCGAACTTGAAAGCAGTTTTATTTGGTGGTTCACATGGTGGTTTTCTAACGTTACATTTAGCTGCACGATATAAAAATTTATATCATGTAGCTATAGCTCGTAATCCAGTTACAAATTTAGTCAGTTCTATTGATACATCTGATATACCAGATTGGTGTTTTACTGAGTCCGGTTTAACAGATTGGTGTGAATGGCCTCTTGGTCATTTACCGAATTCCGATGAATTAATACGTTTGTCAAATCAATCTCCATTGAAATATTTAGATAAATCATGGTCAATACCTTTGTTATTATTGTTAGGTGGAAAAGATCGTCGTGTTCCAAATAGTCAGGTTAGTAACTCTTAACTTGTAACTTGTACTATTTGTCAAGTCATAAATCTATTGTTCGATTGATAGTTTTTGAAACAGTAACCTAGAAGAATTCCATACTGGAGAAGGAGAGTGGCTGTTGAGTTGATCTTTCAAAATTTACGTTCCTAAGCAGTACGTTGTTAGTACATATTGCAATTTTTAACATTTTTCTATCATTTCCTAAATTAAAATAGTTCCAGTTTTACCAATCAAGTTGATATCCATATCACAGAAAATGCATTCAAATGAACATAGTCAGAAATTACAACATTCTAAACCATATTTAATATCATCAACAATTTCTGAATGTCAGCATTTACAATTTCATACCAAAATGGTCTTTGTGAGATAGTGTATGCCAATTTAACATATGTAACCTTCATTCTACCAGTTTGCCCTAATTCATCGGGTGTTTATACTTTTTCTGTTCATTTTTAAACTCAGATAAATAAATTGTGTTTATTTATATAAAAAGTGCTCAAACTAATATCAATCTTGTTAACTGTACCAACTATTTCTAATTAGTTTTGTGTTAATCTAAGTTAATCTAAGTAATTAACACATTATATTTGAATAGAGAAATAAGAAGACATATTTTGTGAGATAGTACCATTTCGTGTTTTCTCGTCAGTCACATACAAGCAACATGTTATTTGTGTAAATACAGTTTTGAAGATATGGTCAAAATTTCTTATTTAACATGACATTCACTCACTAGAACCATGGTAAACAAAGGTCAACATACAGTTGTTTTTGAACACATAAAGTTGGACTTTTACGACGAATCAAGATAGCTTCGAGTAGTTTTAGTGTGTGTGGGTTTTGATGACATGTCACAACTCTAAAAGCTGATTTTGGGTCAATTTGATGACCACTCATCATTAGATGTTTTGCAATGGACGAGGCTGGGTTTCTTGATCGATTTTGAGATGATGGGCTAGGTTGATGAAACATGGATTTGATTAGCCATTTTGGAATATGTTCCCCTATCCTGTCTTCCAATCGGCGATCTGTCCTCCCTAAGTAACTTTCTCCGCAGTTACATGTGAATTGGTAAATACAGTGGGATTTGGACTGAATCGGTCTTGGAGACTTGATTGGGGTAACTGAGATCGATTGGGTTGTTGTGATAAGCCTCAGATTAGCTGCATTGAAGGTCTTTTTTATTGCAGCTGCAGTCTGTTTGGTTGTAATTTTCATGCAATGATCACCTTTGAAAGGTAACTGTAGGTACACTGGTTTCTTGGGCACATCAGTTGCTATCAGCTTCGTCATAGTTGTGTTCTGATGACCAATAAACGTTTCGGGATATCCGTTTAATTTAAGTGTGTCAGTAATAAGCTTGAATTCGTCGTTCAATGTATCAGCAGTGCAGATTCTACTTGCTCGAGCGAATAAAGTTTTGACAACAGAACGTTTATATTGTATGGGGCAGAAACTAGTGAAGTGGAGGTACTGTCCCGACCAGGTGGGTTTGCGGTGTACTTTTCGTCTGATTGATCCGTCTGGACGGCGATGGAGCAGGATATCGAGGAAGGCTAGTTCATTATTCTTTTCTTCCTCATAAGTGACTTTCAGATTCGGGTGAATCGCATTAAATATATCATTGATTTCATTAATGTCTGTAGAATGTGGTAATATGACAAGAATATCGTCGACATATCGTTTGTAAAGTGTAATACCATCGATGAAGTGACTCACTTGCCTTTCTATCATTCCCATGAATATGTTTGCTAAAACAGGTCCGAGAGGGCTTCCCATAGCCACTCCATCGATTTGTGTATATGCTTTACCTTGGAAATAGAATTTTATATTCTTTGTGCACAGCAAAATTAGATCTCGAAGATAGGTAGTCGGAATGGGTATTCTTATGTTGTGTGAAGTTATGAAGTCACAAATAAATTCCACAGTTTCTTCGAGAGGTACATTTGTGAATAAAGAGTTTACATCGAAAGAACACATCCGACTATTAGAAATATTCAAGTGTTCCAAAGTTGGGAGAAGTTCAAAGGAATCGAGGATAGTATGTGTTGACAGTTGTTTACAAACAGGATCCAAAATTTCTTTCAGCCACTTTGCTAGCTTATGGTATGGTGAATTTATCATGGACAGAATTGGTCTCATAGGTGTTGTAGGCTTGTGTAGTTTCGGTAAGCCATACATTTGTGGTGTATTTACTGTATTTACACAAATAACATGTTGCTTGTATGTGACTGACGAGAAAGCACGAAATGGTACTATCTCACAAAATATGTCTTCTTATTTCTCTATTCAAATTTATCAAAGGGAACCACTGTTTCGAACACATTATATGTTGTTTATGATTAATTTTTAAGATGCAGTCCGATCAATGTCTGTTGAAAGATAAACTTACTGACTGACTAAGATGATCAGTTCATGATTTAAACTAGAAAAAATTCTATAATTTCTACAAATCTCCACATAGGATTAATAATCATGTGTTCACTAGCGACTAGTTTTAAGATATAAATTCCTGGAGATGTAGTGAGAAACTGTCACCAATCGAGTTCGACTCGTGTCGAGTGTGAAACAATTATCCATTGCAAGCAACAAATAAAGCTTACGTAATATTGTAGTGAACGAGAACACAGGTGGGGCAACCGAATTATATTCAACGAAAATTACAGAGTTACTCAGTAAAATCGGAACACCATATCGTAAATCATTAATTTGCAAAATATCAGTCCATGCTATCGAACTGGACTGTTCCTGTTGCAAAACATCAACCCATTGTCACACTATTCATGCGTTTCATACAAATTCCATTGTGTTCTAACTCTTCCTTTCTTGATCTTTCCCCATGTTCTGCTGCCAGACATTACGTTGACACTCACGTCATATACTACTTATAAGTAGCTCACACCATAACAAAAGCATCAATTGATTATAGTGGACATGCGCTTCTGAAGAGTGCCGTAACTAGAATGGAATGTCCATCCAATGCTTCCTGGTTTTCCAGCAGTTGCTTGACTTACCGACCACTTCGTCATGTAAACAACGAGAATGTTACAGTTTACACAAACATGCCCTCTAAACTAAATCGATATTATTCATTTGTTAGTCAGTCATTCTAGTGTAAATTATATTCACATGATACATGGTTATTGTTATGCTCGTCAGTTGATATCTTCCACGGTGTGGGTAGCCGGGAAGTGATAACCGCCCTCATACCCGTAACAGTACGAGAGACAAAATTGGTCAAAATCAAATCCTTCCTACACACCCACTAGTACCTCTCTTATCTCCACGACTAACTCTTCTCACATTCATTTATCACAGTGCACAGCTAATGCAAACGATGCGAGTTCACGGAACGTCGTTCCTGGTCTCTTTAAACCCCGCTCTAGACTACATGTTGGAGCATTTAAAATAATCGATGGTTAGAGACCTTGAATGACATGGCTCAAAATCGTTCGCAATGGTGCCGGTGCATTTATTCTTTGTGTTCTCTCAAATCCTAATCTTCTGGATTCTTCAACACCTCTAGTTTTGACTTTCTAAACTTTTCTCACTGAATCATACTTCTTGAATAGTATCTTCTAATCCTAACCTCTCCGATTACTTCTAATACCTTTACTACCTCTTCTACTATTGGATTTGAATTGACAATTACATCTCTGTGCTAATGTGGAATGGCAACATGAACTGATGTACTTACTTACGAAGTTCTACGTTGCATCTGACTGACTTACAATTGATATGCTTGAAACTATTACGAGTTGTTCACCTTAGTCGGTAAACGAGAGTGAAGACAAATGATCCATTTAAACCATAGGCTACTCTAATCCGATCGTCTCAACGCCTCACTAAGTAGAGGAAGAAGTCTTGATAAGACATAGAAAGTGTTTTCTACAAGCACCCGGAAAATTTGTGATCGACAAGCACACAAATCGAGTTTATTTATACATGATAGAAACGTCCTTGGTAGAGCCACAAAAATATCGTACTAAAATAATCCATCAACCAGTGAGAGTGAAGGATTCTCCGAGTGGGAAATATAATCTCAAGGTCAACTGATTAGCCTATGCGCGTAAACATAAGCAATCCAAAATTAGGACCTTTACCAAGTGAGTTCTGGGGATCTAACAATCCCCAACAGTTATCAGAGCAATTAAGTAATCATAGAGTTTAATGCATCCTATTTATAATTTATTTGTGTTTGTTGATTTGTTAATTTTAGGGATTAACATTCTATCGAAAATTGAAAGCTTTATGTCCAACTGTACCATGTGAAACATTTCTCTATCCATATGATTCACATCCATTAGATTCACCAGCCTGTTCATTGGATGTTTTTGTGAACAGTGTAAATTGGTTTATGAAATATCTTAATTTGTAAACAAAAAAAAGCATAATGTTGTATTTTCTTTTTCTGTTTGTCTATTTTTTTCTACTTTGTAATAATAAACAACTATACACTTAACTTCAGTTTTTTTCTTTTTTCGTAAATGTACATTCTCAATTTTGTTTATACACATGAAAATATGTATTTTGAATAGCTCAGCGATGATGATATGTTTTAATGTGATACTCTGGATATTATTATGAGGTTTGAATGTTGAACACATTAATCTTAGGTATTGTTTGTGCAACTATTATTTGATTCATTTGAAATTACAATAGAGAAATGATTAAATGGTCTATATGCTGATGGTGGTAGAATAAGTCGTCCACTCAGTTTTTTTTCCGACATTATAGTAGAGGAGTTTCTGCTGCGATCAACAGTCTAAGTTACTGATTTGTACTTAGGCTATTTACTTAGGTATTCTAATTTACTGCTTGTCAATCTATATTCATGCTAACTTGTTCAATGTTTAAACTAGTGAAAAAATGTGTTGGCGTTCAAAGTGGTTTGGTATTCACTGTGAATGTAACCACTAAGACGAAAGGAAATTCAATTAGTGGGCCAGACACAAACATGATGAAATGCGCCTTCTAGATTCTATTGATAATCAAAGACCAATTTTTTCGCCAATTTTTCTTGTAAATAAGAAACATTCGTTATTTTATATAAGATTTTTTATATGTTGATTGTCTTATTCTAGTTTAACTATGACCAGTATTGACAATTATTTTGGAGAGCTTTTGGACAATGATGATTATGAACAAGAGCAGGATAGTAAATCTGTGAGATGTAAATTTGTTTTATTATTTTGTTATGTTTGATTATATATGTATAGTTATATCATAGGAAGAAGCAATAAATTTTTCTGTAAACTTTAAAAAAAACGAATAATATTCGATTAGCGGGGAACATCTCTCTGTATCAGGTTCCATTGTAGGCTACTTGTTTGGAAATTCGTAAATGCTAATTTATAATTATTCCTTATAAGTTATAGTTTATGGTTGAAAGGTTCTCGGCGATCGATGTTCTGCGGTGGAAGAAACCCAGTGGCCGTCAAACCAAAACATGGCAGAAATCCATGAAGTCACTGACAACTGGACTAAACCATTTTAATAGGTGAAGAGTACCTGGTTCAGGTCTACGCGATGATAGTAACCGATGGTTAGAGACCTTGAACGACATGGCTCAAAATCGTTTGCAATGACGCAGGTGCATTCATTCTTTGTGTTTTCACAAATTTTAATCTTCAGAATTCCTCATCATCTCTATCTTTATCTCTCTAAAGTAATCTCACTAAATTATACCTCTCGAATCGTATCTTCGGATCCTAATCTTATCCATTGCTGCTAATACTTCTACTATCTCTACCACTATTGGTTTTGAACTGACAATTGCTTCTCTGTGCTTATGTGGTATGGCAACCTGAACTGATGTACCTACGTACGAAGTTCTACGTTGTAACTGACTTACTGACCCACTGATTCAGTTTAAATGGACAAATATGATTGTATTTTGGGTAGTAGCTAGCGGTAACATTCAAGACATAAACTTTGTTCTGTTTCGGATTTGATATGTGAAAGTATTTGCATCGTGATTTAGGATCTTTTTGTTGTAACTCAATCCTAAAACCTATCGAGTTTCAAACTGTATACATTTGTTTAACGATTATAGCATATGATCAGCTATAAATTTTGGAATATGTATCTCGATTAACTAGTCTCTGTTAGCCTGTAAGAGAATCAGCTCTCTGAAGATTGCAAGTACGCTTACCAATGTCAACTAGTATGCATGAAACTTTAGTCCAGGGTTTCCTGTTGACTATTTTCAACTACCTAACAGATTAGCTAATATCACGTCATCAAATCGACAGCAATCTCTGTACTTTGATGATAAGTTTCTAAGTAGGTCAACACAAGTAGTTAAGTGCTCAATATTTTGATTATCATATCGGGTTATCAACAGAAAGTGTTATGCTAGTGTTTCGTTAAAAATTTTCCATGGTGAAGTTCTAGATGCTTTTCGTGAAATAGTGGCTCAGTGGTTAAAATATTTGACCCCGCACTAGTAAAGCGAGCTCTGTCTCACTGAAGTCGTCGATTGCAACCAGCCTATATCCTCAACTGACCTTAGATAACTACTGAAAATCAAGAAATACTAGACAGCTTTTTCGTTCTATCATGGGGCTTTTCGATTGCTTAGGTAGATGGTTGTACAATATCGTTAGCTGGAAAAAAAATAGAAGTATTGGTCGTTGGATATCGACCTGGTGAGACCTGAAAGTCCTGGATTCTATACCTGGTAGGACCATGGATGCTCATTGTTGAGAAGTCCAATACTAGGACAAAACTTCTGTTCAATGTTTCTTGGTTTTCAATGGTTCTATAACATGGGTCAGTTCGTGATGCAAATTAACAATGTGCACAAATTCTTCACACTAGTATTATCATCATTATTTATGCAAGCATTGCATATGAAAGCCAAGTACCTAGACTTCTATCCAACAAATAAGTTGCCTCATAGATATTTCTTTTCTGGTTAGCTGCTTTTAGTCTCATCGTTTTTTAATCGACCTGCCTAGTATGGTAGAATCTACAGGAACATATGTTCCAGCCAATGTAGCTCGGTCGGGTCATGACGATAGGCAAGCCCGACCACTATGTCAAGGTAGCAGCTACGGTCGGGGTTAGTGTTTACAGATGTGAACTGTTGGTAAGTCTCCAATCAGACGACACTAAATGATAACCTATTTCTTATATATATATATATATATATATATATATATATATATATATATATATATATATTAATTTGTAAATTGTTCCCTTGTTTTATAATATATCCAGCTACAAGATATGCGTTCTGGTGTAATATTTTTAATTGATTGTACACCGACAATGTTTGGACTCAGTGGTTCATTTGAATTCAAAAGTAATAATTCAATGGATTTATCATCAATAAAAAGTGGATTTGATTTAAGTTTGTTATGCTGTCAAACATTTCAACAAAATAAAGCACTTCATAGTCCTTTTGATATGATTGGACTTATTTTAATGCGTACAGTAAGTTTCATTATTGTCATTAGTTCATTGTACTATCTAATTGAATCGAAATGTTTTTTGTTTTTTTCACTTCTGTTAACTCGTTTCAAAGTATGCTTAAAACTATTACGAGTTCACTTTAGTCGAATAACGAGAACAAACGATGAATCGGCGTCCAGGTAGGCTACCGTGATTCGATTGTCCCAAATTGTACAAGCAATGAGTCTTGATATAGCGTAGAAAGTGTATTCTACAAACACCCAGACAGCACACAATGAATTCAAGCACATAAATTGCGTTTATTTATACTCCATAGAGACGTCCTTGGGACAGTCACAAAAATAGTACACTAAAATGACACAGTAACCTATCACAGTCAAGGATTTTTCTGGTGGGAAATGTGATCTCAAGGTCAACTGATCGGTCCATGAAATAAATCTAAAATAAAGACATTTATCAAGCGAGTTCTGGGGATCTATCATCCCCGACAATTTCATTCGTTCGTGTCTGCTTATAAGACAAGACTTATAAACAGCATTTCTTGATTTTCACTGATTCACTATCTGCTATCACTCCGTTACTAAAAATTCTGTACCTTATCACCCTAAGATATTGATGTGTATAAATTTAACTTTAATATACAACTGAGTAGTCTCTTAGTAGGATGAAATAGTTGTTCAGTGCGTCCTGGTTTTTAATGGCTGTTTTTTTTTAAACTCGATTCAATCCATCATATGAAACCTTGAATTTAAAAATTCCCATAATACCTTATAAAGCCAACCATCATGTGTTTACTAGTGACTTACCGTTGAGTGTTTTGGTGCAAAACCTATGACCAATGAGTCTCAACCATGTCGAGCTTAAGATGAATATCACTATAATGGCAGTTGATGATAATCAAGTAAAATCACAAATCCATTGAAGTTAAATGTATAAATCATTAGGTCTGGACTAGATGGTCTAATGTTTAAGAATTTATCACTAGAGACACTGAAGACACTACACTTTAACCCTTACTAGGATTATGGATGTGTACTACTGAAAAGTTCCATACTAGAACGGTACAACTTTCTAAGTACTCTCTTTTGTTTTGAATTATACTTCAACTGGCGGCATTCCCTGATTTATTATCAATTACAAGTGATATATTTCTGTTGTATTGCTTACTTTTTTTTCTCATTTCAAGAACGAATCATCTACTGACATGAAGAATATCATAGTTTTACAGGTTAGTTAAAATCTCTCATATTATTTAAATGTCATGCCATTGATTTAGATAGGCTAAAATTGTTTACGTTTTCGCATATAATCCTTTTATTCTCTATATTTTCGATTTTGAACATGATCAGTTTGTCTTATTACAGCTCTGACTTCTTGATACAGTGTCAGAACTTTTTTCTACAAAAAAAGGAGTTAAAAACATACAGTTAAACAGAAAGCACCCCGCAGAGAAATAAAATACGAGTAAAGAGGACGAGGTGACTGTCCAGTGCTTCCTGGTTTTCAATGGTTGTTTAACTAAGATCGGTTCGTGATTTCAATAAAATTCAACAATTTCCACAACCCTAATACGGATATCTTTCTTCGTTATGTAAACCATTTAAACTAGTAGCAAGCATAGATTGATTAATAATTTCAATCATCAACAACAATCTCCATAACTCTATAATTACAAAAACATGGAAGAGTGGAAGTTATGCTTTGTTGTCGAAATTGTTGCCGATTATAGTTAATTGTTCTGAACTGGTTAGTTATGTATAGTTTCGAAGTATTTGAAAACAATTCGAAATTATAGTCATATCTGATCTGGTGATGTATATTATATGATATAGTAACGTGATGAGAGTGTTTTTGCCCTTTTGAATAGGTCTTTATAGTGGTGGAGAAAATTTATAGCTCAGGTGGATAATTGTGTTGGAGTTTCGTTCTCTGAGCTGGATGTTTTGATTGAGAAGCTTGACACTCAAGTCAATCAGCAATCAACAAACACATGGACATTGACCCAACTGATCAATCAATCGGAAGAATCATAGACAAACGTAAGATCTTCAAACATTGAAACCATCAATCAATCATTGTTAGACCACCATTAGAAACCTAGAAGCACTGGACGGTCGTTTCGTCCTGGTACGGAACTCATCGGCAGAGCGCATCCACGATTCCTGCACCCCACAGGACTCGAACCTAGGATCTCCGGTCTTGCGCGCAGACGCCTAACTACTGGACCACTGTGCCGGCGGCATTCAATGGTGTTATTGTCTAACTCCGATCAATCTAAGGATTTTACGCGATCCCACCCATCTGTCTTCAGTAGTTACTGCCTAAACCCGACAGGGTTGAACTCCATTGGCAACGTCTTACTAGAACTCCTAGAATCTCCTCACGAAGCTAGTCACTAGTGGGAAATTTACGGGTAAAAGTCACACATATATGTTATTCAAGCTAACAACGATCTCCATTTTTGACTTTATTCCTCTTATATTTACAATTTTTGTGAGGTATTCGGCCGAACACAGATAACTTAATTACTTACTTACGCCTGTTACCCACAATAAAGCATAAACCGCCCACCAGTTTCCTCCAACCAACTCTGTCCTGGTCTTCCCATTCCAATTCTGTCCAATGTTTGTTCATTCCTCTCATATCTTTCTCTATTTCTCGGCGTAAAATGTTCCTTGGCCTTCCTCTTTTCCTTTTGCCTTGAGGGTTCCATGTGAGGGATTGTCTTGTGACGCAGTATGGTGCTTTTCGTAATGTGTGTCCTATCCACTAACTCCACCGCTTCTTCCTGATTTCCTCCTCCACTGGAATCTGGTTTGTTCTCTCCCACAGTACGTTGTTGCTAATGGTGTCTGGCCAACGAATACGAAGTATTTTGCGTAGACAACTGTTCACAAATACTTGTATCTTCTGGATGATGGCTTTCGTAGTTCTCCATGTTTCCACTCCATACAGTAGAACTGTCTTGACATTTGTATCGAAAATCTTGATTTTTTGGTTTTGGTTGAAAGTTGTTTGGAGTTCCATCTTTAAATATAAGGACTAAAAATTAGATGAATGAAGTTTTCTTACTTCCATTTTATAAAATATATTTACGGTGACTACTTATCGATTGAACAATGAGTATAATTGATGCACGAGATACCTCTGTGACAATATTATGTGTAAATATACTAAGATATCATGACTCACTGGTACACAATACTTCATTATTCACTATTTTGTATTCCTTAACAATGGTACCACTTTTTTTATTGTCATATTCAATTTAAATCCAATTTGTTATTTGAACACAAACAAACCAGTAGAATATATATATTCACAGATCAATTACTTTCTTACTAATCTTTGTGAATACGAGATGAAAACGCATATCAGCAGACATCAAAGTATTACTTGTAATCAAAAAAATTGTAACATTTTTCTAATTGAACAACATATAGTTATCATCATCATGATCATTGTCATCTCCCTGGATAAAACTTGTCAAATCATATGTCAGATGTCATTATGCATCATGCAATGCACATCAATGCAAATTCCGATTGTGATCAAAAAAAAGAAGAGAAAAAACACCGAATGCATTGTCAGAATATGAAATTGCAAACAACTACATTCTTTTGTGCGTTCGTTAATCAATTGTTTGTGACAGAGTTGGAAAAAATATCTAAAAATTAGGTTGGATTTTTGACTTGACTTGATAGCAAACTAATAATGATTGTATTAGTCATTGTTGTTGATCGATTAAAACGTATATATATATATATATATATATATATATAGTATCTGTAATATTGTCATGCTTGGCACCACCAGTTGATAGGCTTGAAACTATTACGAGTTGTTCACCGTAGTCGGTGGTAAACGAGAGCGAAGACAAATGATCCAGTGACACGTTAAGCTATTCTAATCCGAGCATCCCAAGGCCACATTAAGTAGTGGAAGAAGTTTTGATAAGGATTAGAAGGTGTATTCTACAAGCACCCAGAAAATTTGTGTTCGACAAGCACACATACATGATAGAAAAGTCCTTAGGAGAGCCACAAAAGTAGCGTACCAAAATGATACATCAACCAATAACAGTCGAGGATTTTCCGAGTGGGAAATGTAACCTGAAGGTCAACTGATCAGCCTATGCGCGAAAACACGAAATCGAAAATTAGGAACCTTTTTTATCAAATGAGTTCTGGGGATCTAATGTCGCTAGAATAGTGGTTAGAAAGTCTGTGAACAGATTGATCAAATCACGCACCAAATAGAACTCACTCCATAGGAAGAGTTAAATATTCATAGCTTGATCGTTAAATATTTAAGAGTGTTAAGAGCAGTATTCAAGAAAAGTAATAAAAAGGAACTGTCCTATTATTATTTACAAATTTAAACATTCTTTAATTTACTGGTGATCATCTTGTAATGTGATAGGGCATTGTTCCGTTGTAACTGGATATTTCAGTCACTCCTGTTACAATTATTTCATTCCTGTTGTTACTTTAGTCCGAATAACTACTCTATTAATTAGATGCAAGTATATGAATGTTATCCTTGACAGTAGCTGTGTACTGTCGAGAAATTCTTGTTTACTGTGATGTGAAATCTCTTCATGAAGTTGGATAAAATCTGTTGATTATTTGGCGATGGTGATAATTTATCTTATCCCGCTTGATTTTCCGGATACATGTGTTGCGTAATACCTGTGTAATAATATAAGTCATCTGTGTCATTTTTTAGGAAATGAATTTATTTCTGATAAGTTTGCAGATAATAGACTTAAATTAATAGGCTAGCCTAAGGTGAAGCATTCATCACAACCGTATACACGTTCAAAATAAGCCCCAAACAAATTCACATAGTTTGTATCAATTAATCCTGTTCATAAGTTTCATTTTTTTGTCAGTCGATTCATTTCATATTTGTTTTGTTGTTTTTATTGTTCTCTAAGCATAAAGATTTGTTCTGCATTGAGATCAGTAAACGTCGGTACCATATATGTTGGGGACGTTAGATCCACAGAACTCACTTCATAAATGTCCTAATTTTGGATTTTTTATGTTTCTGCGCATAAGTTGCCCAGTTGACCTTGAGATCGCATTTCCCACTCGGAAAATCCTTGAGTGCCACTGGTTGATGTGTTATATTAGTATGCTATTTTTGTGGCTCTCCTAAGAACGTTACTATAAATAAACTTGATTGTGTGTGTTTGTCGACCTAGTATTTTCTTGTTGCTTGTAGAATACACTTTCTACGCCTTATCAAAGCTTCTTGATATAGTTAGCAGGGCCGGGGTCAACGGATTAGAGTAACCTGTCGTGTCACTGGATCATTTGTCTTCGCTCTCGTTTACTGATGAAGGTGAACTCGTAATAGTTTCAAGCATATCAATTGACGAGCATACCAATATATAATGTGAATATTAGGATAATTTCATCTTACCATTTCATACATCTACTTCATAGTCTTTTAGAGTAAGTCAACTTTTATTGAAAAGCCATCACTAAAAAAATGTCTGAATGAAACTTGCATTCATCCGACTATATTCTTATTTGAATCTGGAAGTTTTGCGTTACTGTTGGGGACATTAGATCCCCAGAACTCACTTGATAAGGATCCTAATTTTGGACTTTTTATGTTTTCGCATATAAGTTGCTTAGTTGACTTTCAGATTACATTTCCCACTCGGAAAACCCTTCACTCTCATTGGTTGATGTGTTATTTTAGTACGCTATTTTTGGGGTTCTCCTAAGGACGTTTCTATCATGTATAAATAAACTCGATTTGTGTGCTTGTGAACCTCATATTTTCTGGATGTTTGTAGAATACACTTTCTATGTCTTGTCAAGACTTCTTCTTCTACTTAGTGAGTGCTTGGGACGCTCGGATTAGAATAGCTTATCGTGTCATTGGATCATTTGTCTTCACTCTCGTTTACCGACCACAGTGAACAGCTCGTAATAGTTTCAAGCATATCAATTACACTTAACATCTGTTTATTATCTATATGATAAAGTAAGTGGTTAATGCTTAACCTGTCCAACTTGTTTTAACCATTGCCTTACACATTCAAACCTCGCTTCACTTCAGTTTTATCAGTTGGGAGATATGCCATTAACCGCATATAAATAAAGCTGAGTACCTAAATCATCTGTCTATTGATTCTTTACAATTTATTGATGTGTTGAATTGAATTCAACCCGATTATATATATATATATATATATATATATATATATATCTGTTTACAATTGATTTAGCCTTTAGGTTTAGCTAATGCTACACGTATAATAGAAATTGAAAAGTTAAGACAATTAAAACCAAATGAATTGGCAACACAATATGGTACTATTGTCAATCAATCGAATATTAATTTCCCTTTACATGAAGCATTATGGGCATGTCAAAATCAATTTATCACTTGGTTAGTTTAATAGGCTATTGTTTTATTTTTTATTTGTAACCATGAATCGATCAATGTTAGACCACCATTAGAAACCTGGAAGCACTCGACGGCCGTTTCGTCCTGGTATGGGACTCCTCGGCAGTGCGCATCCACAACTCCTGCACCCCGCAGGATTCGAACCCAGGACCTTCGGTATTGTGCGCGAACGCCCTAACCGTTAGACCACTTAACAATATTGTTTATTTATTTGATTTGAAAATTTCTTTTAGTCTAATCACTATTGTGAAATGATTTCCATTATGTAAGATGATTCTAGATAGTTTAAGGTGCATTACGGTGATATACGTATTGTCTAATTAAAACGTTGATTAGAATGGTGGTCGATAAGTCTTGTAAACAGAGATACCTTTTAATCTGGCGACAACTACTCACGCAATCGAATTATTAATATGGATTCGTAAGTGAACTCATTTCAAAGACGAGACAATTTGGTCAATAGAATACTTTTGTTCCCAGTAAAAGTAGCTAGCTATATCGGATGCAAAGATAAACATACCTACATATTATCATTGTACGTTACTCATTTTTCAATGGAATAAAAACTTGGCCGTAAAGCTCAGTCATTGCTTTTCACATCGGACAGACAGACAGACAGATGGATACAACGGGAAACTTCGTACGTAAGTACATCAGTTCAGGTTGCCATACCGCATTAGCATAGAGAGTCAGTTGTCAGTTCAAATCCAATAGTGGTAGCGACACTAGAAGTATTAGCAGTAATGGAGAAGATTAGGGATCGAAGATATGATTCGAGAAGTATAATTCAGTGAGATAAATTTAGAAAGAGAAAAATAGAGATAATGAATTCAGGCGGTTAGAATTAGAGAGAACACACAGAGTGGATGCACTTGCGCCATTGCAAATGATTTTGAGCCATGTCATTCAAGGTCTCTAACCATCTATGACTTACGTCTGACGGACCCAACCAGGTAGCCTACATCGACAAACGTGACTCAGTTAACTTGTCAGTGATTGAATGAAATAACACATGCTTGTTACATCACAACTGGTATTTCAAAAACTCGACCTTATTTATTGACTGATGTAGGTTAGTGCTTGAATTAGATTCAGGATAGAAGTGGCCGTGATCACGTTACTCAAGGTTAAACAACATGAGATTGTTCATACATCATTGACCAATCGTAGTATTTAATTTAACTCTACAATAATTATTTACCAATTAAATCACCACATGATAACAGCTTTGTAAGTATAAGAAGTTGGATTTTTTCGAAAGGATAATGAATTTATTTGTAGTTTCATTTCCTTTCAATCTATGCCATATCAGTTCGTTTCATTGTGTTCATTTGATAGTCACCAGTTTTACCATAGGTGAAAATATTCCACTAAAAAAAATACTAGCACAAATATTTGTTAACTTAACATTTAAATTTTTTCTAGTCGAACACTTGACTTGTTGTCTGTAAACTGTAGGTTGTCATTCTATTTTGAGTTGTTGTCTTCTAACGATTTCAAATGAACAGTCTAAACACCAAAAAGATCTCTTGTCAACTTCTGCTACATTTCGATTGAATTCTACGCTTCCTATTACTTTTATTGATTTCATAGCATGATGTTATGCGAGTGAAAGCAATTTTCCTAACAGCTGTTTCGTATTCATCAATAACTCATATCTAAAATCTTGTAGACATTGTCAGTTACTTTTTATTTCAACTAAACTACATACGATAATCAGTCAATATTGTTGCATTTTCATAATCGACCCAAAAGTCTTATCAAGGTTGGGTATATATATATATATATATATATATATATATATATATATATGATTATAGGTAATGGTGACTAATTCATTTATCACTTTATAAATCTCTGTTGACTAAAGCCAATTGGACATACATGTTACAGGTGAGATGATCGACTATATCACCTTACCTATATTATATGACGACCCAATATTGTTGACTACCAGAAGACTAGGCTGGAAGAGAGTTGGGCGTTGTCGAATCCAAGATATGGATGGCATCAGCCTATAAATTCATTGATTGGGAGCTTTTTTTCTTTGTTCCTTATTTGTGTTCCCCCCCCCCCCCAACTATTTCACTCTTTCATGGTATCATTCATCCTACTACTACTACTGCTTTTTTTGTTTACTCGGCTTTATTCATTTTGATGTATTCGTTTGTATATCGTGACAATTTAAGTTGATGCGTATATGTATGTATGTATGTATGTATGCATGCCAGTTGCTTATTGCTAGTTGTAGTAATCATACATTGAATATCATAAAATGTATACACCGACTTGTTGTTTTTTTTTCTGTTTGCGAATTCATTTTTTAAAAAAAAATCTTTTTTTTCAGTTCAAAGACATTCGGTATTAAACATATATTTTTGTTAACTGATGATCCTGATCCAGTAAATAAAAATGTTAATTTAAAAGTAAGTGTTATTTTTTTTATTTTTTTAAAAAAAAAATCTTTTGTTATATTTAGTCATAGTGTAGTGAAGGAGAACTCAGGTGGGGCAACCGGATTGATTGTATTTAACGAAAATTACAGAGTTACTCAGTAAAATAGGAAAACCATATCGTAAATTGTTCATTTGCAAAATATCAGTTCATCATATCGAACTGGACTGTCTGTTCCTGTTGCAAAACATCAATCCATTGTCATTACTATTCATGAGTTTCATACAAATTCCATTGTATTCCCACTCTTCCTTTCTTGATCTTCCTCCATCTTCGGCTGCCAGACATTACGTTGACACTCACGTCATATACTGCTTATAAGTAGCTCGCACCACAATAGTTATGAAAATATGAACTCTGGTATAAGTTATATTACAATTTTTAGCCTTATAAGAAATTCGTTTTTACATTCATTGAATGTGTGCGTGTAAATGATATTGTTAGCGATTATAATTTGAGATAAGATTGAAAATGTAACACGATGAATAACGTCTACCTTAACGAGTGAGTAGGAGTTGAGTAGGTTGGAAGAAATATTTAGGGGGGAAAGCTAAACTAAGACAGCACTAGCCTGTGAAATCCTTTAACAGTTGAAATGATGCATTTTAATAAGTATAGACTACCTGGTTGGCGTCATAACATGAATCAGAATCATTCACACTGACTCAGGCGTATTCACTCGTCTTTTTTTAAGATTCTAAATGTCTAAATTTTATGAAACCTTTTTCTATATCTAATCTTTTTTATAACTAGTAGTACCGTAATTGTCCCTACTACTTTGGGAATTGTTTTGAAATCATTTCATCTCTCTTTAGTAGTTTAGTATGGCAACTAGAACCAATACACATATACATCAAGTTCTGTGTTGCATATAACTGAATAGTTTGATAAGATCTTGTATAAGTTGGAAGTATAGACCTTCTTTATCCTAAAAAGCATTCTTAAGTGTCTCATGATATATCCTAAACTTCACTTGATCGACGGATTACGTAAATGATCAGTCTTGGTAAACTGTTCAATTATCATGAACATTTATTCAGTCTGTTAAATTGATTTTGAAGTTTTGTCGAAGTGCTAGTTGGTTTCTTGACGATTGGCTAGAAGTTGCCAGTCACAGAGGTTAAAAGGAAGACAGAAGGTCAAGATTAAAAGACATTATATTTATAGTTTTATTGTAGAATGTTTGCCAAGTATCGATTAGCGTTGATTGGATACGAAAGAGCCAATCAACGTGCAGCAACGCAATCATGCTTTAATCCAATCTATGTTCAGCTAACACTTACTCTACACAAATCTAATCGGCGATCAAATCTCAGCTTTATTTTTAAAACTTATCTTCTGTTTCAGTTGTGAGAACTAGTTTTCACATAGATCTAATCAATGAATACAATTTAATGTACTATAACCTACAAAGATACTGTTAAAAATCAAAGTTTATTCAGAGGTTACGATATATTTTCTTAAATACTAAGATAAGTTCTTAAAGAGGTTTTATGGAAATCGATTCAATTTGTACACGGATATTCATCACATGCTAATCTTAGTTAAAGTAGCATTAAAAAGCATAGACCACATGTTTGACTAAATTGTAACTCATTAATGACTTACTTCATAATATCCCTAAAGTTCTGATGAAGTTCAGATAGATATGTCTGGAGTGCAACATTTGTCTTCAATGTAACATCGTGCTGTATATTGCAAATCGATTAATATTGACAATGTTTCATAGTGAACGCCAACTCAGTGTTTGTAATTGTTAAAAATAATCTCGTCAAAAAGAAAATTTTTTTCTCTCTCAAATATCTTTATTCTTTTTTTAAAATGTTAAATGTTCGTTGCAAGAACTGATGGCCTTCTGGTTTTACCACCTAGTAGTGGAGTAGTGTTATGCCTGCACGTAAACACGTGATTTTGATATGCTTGAACTATTACAAGTGTTTGCCTTAGTCGGGAAACGAGAGCGAGGATCGAGGATCCGGTGACACAACATGCTACTCTAATCCAATTATTCCAACCCCCTTATTGAGCAAAATAAGAAGACTTGATGTGAAGTAGAACCTGTATTCTACAAGCATCCAGAAAGTACGAGGTCCGAGTCCAGGAGAGAATCAGGATCCCAAACTAGGGATCCGGGACCTGGTCGTGGTCATAAAATGTTACAGATAATGCGTATCTATACATTTAGGTCGAATAGAAAACAGCCTCGAAGTCTTTGACATTGACAGTTAAGACGACCAATTGGAAGCAACATTGTAGCACGTGACATTGATATCTAGGACGACCATAAAATTGACCAATAGGAATTAACCAATAGGAATTGACCAATAATTTTCTCTTAACATATTGGATGAATATCCTAACAAGTAGTCATCAGTGTATGCACAATTGTAAAGTCCTATATTAAGACTTAACAGTTGTCCATTGCACTCTAATTAACATTAATACTCGTTTATTTCCACTATATTCTCACTAACCTCATTCTTCACTTCGTCTTTTTTTATTTTAAAAAAAATTCTTTATTATTTAGCGTAGAGCAATTGCTAAAATGGCTGATCTGAAACAATATGGCATAAAATTGGAAGTGATTCCAATTAAACAACAAAATGAAAAATTTAATTATACATTATTTTATGACGTAAGCATCAAAAAAAAAAACAATAAATAAATGATTTGTCCTTTTTTTTCTCGTTGTACATTTTTTTTTCTATCTATCTACTATACTACTTATTATAGTTGATATTCATAAAATCAAAATGAAACAATTGAATCATGTGTACATCGATATAAAGAGAAAATTATATAAAAAAAACAGTTAGTGAATATTCCCCGTTTAGAATTGTTATTTGAATTATGTTAATTTATACGTACCAAAGTCATTAATCATGTGTATATAGTGAGGCATTAATTCATATATATAAACTTTATAGTTTACGTTATTAATTGACTTTAGTTAGAAGACTATTGAAAACATTGAACAAGTATTTCCTCTTAGTATGGGATTTTTTTAGCAGTGTGCATTCATTCATGTTAATTAGTTATATGCTCATTTGTGACTATTTTTAAAATGAAATTCCTGTAGTTTCTATTGAGAATCTGTGACTATTGAAGTTCAACTGTGTTGGATGTAAGACCCAACACAAGCGATAGAAGATAGTCGGAGGTTAGCATGTATCACATTCAAACCGCGGATAACGCACATCATAACACGATTTCTTCCGCGCAATATACCCAGAGTTCACTCCTTTATTTATCAACCAACTGTGAATATGAATATACAGCTAAAGTAAATAATTTCGTCTAAAAGAAAATTTCGTTCTCTAAATTCTATTTGTTTTTATTCAAAGTGTTTGTTATCGCTCGCATATCCTGGGACAACCGCGTAAGAAATGTTGTTGTTAGGAAACGAGTACTAGGTAGGGATGTCAGATCAATTGATGAAGTAGTGAAACTCCATCAGTTGAGAAGGTTGGGACATGGGTGAGGAATGCCTAACCACCGACTGCCTTGACGAGCTTTGTTTTTTTGGTGTAGGAGTAGGTTGGAAGAAAGCTAGCGGCGGCCAAAACAAAACATGGCATAAATCCATGAAGTCTCTGACAAGTGGGCTGAGTCGTGTTGGTAGATGTAGGCTAACTGGATTGGGTCTGCGAGACGACAGTAACCGATATTTAGAGACCTTGAACGACATGGCGCAGGTGCATCCACTTCTTGTGCTCTTTGAAATTCTAACCTTCTGAGTTTGTCATCACCTCTATCGTTCTCCTTTTAAAGTTATCTCACTGAATTATACTTCTTGAATAATATCTTCGATCCCTAATCTTCTCCATTCCTAGTAATACTTCTACTATTCCTACCACTATGTGATTCGAATTGACAATGTGCCGATGTGGTATGGCAGCCTGAACTGACGTACATACGTACTTACGAAGTTCTATGTTGTAACTGACTGACTGTTAGTTATTTTGACAACTTTGTTTAATGACTCGATCAACATACATCTATTTTTGTATGTACGTATGGAGTTCTAATGATCATTTCTACTTATGTGGTTGAGTGAGTTTTTTTCTTGTAATCTTTTCTATCTAGGAGTTATTAGAGGACGAATTAACCTATCCTGATGTAGACAGATCTTCTCGTCATCCTGATCCAACTGAACGTCTTAATGAACTCCTAAGCCGGTACGTTAAAATATTTATTACTACCAATAACTGTATCATTGTTTTTTACCTAGACTAGCTGTTAACAAATATATTGGAAGAGATAATGAGATCATTTTTAAAAAAGCATTGCTTGAAATGATATATTATCTATGTGAATTCGTTCACTGGTTATCATTGTGTGTTTAGGAAGTGGTGGGATGGGATGGTTACCATTGTATCTTGTGGTACGAGCTACTTATAAGTAGTATATGACGTGGGTGTCAACGTAATGTCTGGCAGCAGAAGATGCAGGGAAGATCAAGAAAGGAAGAGTGGGAACACAATGGAATTTGTATGAAACGCATGAATAGTGACAATGGATTGATGATTGGCAACAGGACCAGTCCAGTTTGATATGATGAACTGATATTTTACAAATTAACGATTTACGATATGGTTTTCCAATTTTACTGAGTAACTCTGTAATTTTTGTTAAATACAATCAATCCGGTTGCCCCACCTGTGTTCTCGTTCACTACATATCTGAATGTACACAATGTGAATGATTCTCAACACTGAAACAATAATCTGAGGTGTTTTTAAACACAGAGATATTTGCTGGTTGTTTGTGGTATACTGGATGCACGTTTTGCATTATATGGGACGTATCATTTAGATGCTCCTTCATTGTGGAGTTGATTTTCACTTAGATACTCAATCCTATTCCCGTTTACTTTAAATGTCTGTGCATTATCCACTCAGTTACTAAATCCAATGGAGTGAAATTTTCGTGCTGTTATGGGTATGAGGGCGGTTGTCACTTCCCGGCTGCACACACCGTGGATGAGTGTTTCTTGAGGAACCTGAAAAGGAAGATAGATTAGTGTTGGTCTTGGAGACCTGGGAGCGTGACCGCAGAGTCCAAGGGACAACTGCTTGAGGCCGGTCACGCACGGCCTTTTTATGAAAGGTATTTTGAGGATTAGCTCCGTTCTTAAAGGCCCTTAGTGGGCACCCTTACCCAAGGAGACGGAAATCCGTGAGTTAGGGGAGGTGTGACATTTTTAGGGTCGACCTTTTCTAACCCTTCCTTCCTTGTGACAAGGCAGCATCGCTGCAGATGCTGATTGTCCGAGGGTAACACCTTACTGCTGTCACACCCCTCTGCAGTCAGCAGTACGACTTCGCCCTCAGACCTTGAGTAGCTGCTTTTAGTCTCATCGTTCTCCAATCGACCAGCCTGGCAATTTAGCAGTACATTTAATGCTTTATTCTAGGTTTGCTTACGAACTATAGTTTTTTTCAGAATTATAAACCAATAGTCAACAACCAGTAGAAAAGCATTAGTTCAACTATTTAATTCCAACTTCACTCTATCAATCACTTCAAAAGTATATTTCAAACCAAAGTAAACAAGCGTTCATTGAATTAAAAAGTTTTTTTATTACTGTACTCAATGTTTCGAAAAACATTCGATTTCATATTTCAAATTATAATGTATGTTAGAAAGCATTGATCATTCATTCAATTTAATGTGATTGACAAATAAGATAGCGTGATTTCAATATGTTTTAAAAAAAATCTAAATTTCGATCACTCATTTTTATTTGAAAGGAGTATTGACTGGCAGATTTCTAATTATGATCAATAGCCATTTAGTACTTGATGAAATCTAGGGATGCTTTAGTTGATGAAGTGTAGAGTATCTCAGTCTCATAAAAAACTGTCAGCAATATCGAGTCAATACACTTAGACTTCATATATAGTCATCGAGATTGGTCATTTACAGTCAGTAATGTTACTGATAGGAAAGTATAAACTTTTAATACGTGTCGGGCATTCTAAACAAAACTGTAATGTATCTGAGTTACAATATGAACATCAACACTCGGATGAATGTACATCCGTCTGATGAGTTCCAAATAGAAAGAAACTTAGGTCTTAAGCGCTCCATTGCTAACCACATATCAAGCTGGATAACTATAAAAAACTAGTGAGTATTAAATTAATATGTTTCATCGTATCATTTGATTACCAGTCAGTCATGTGTTGTGGATGTTAGATCCCTAGAACTCACTTGGAAATGTCCTAATTTTGTAAGTGTATTCTGAAATTTTAAATTTTCATGTTTTCGCGCCTGAATAAATTCGATTTTGGTGCTTGTTACCCTCGTATTTTGTAGATGCTTGTAGAATACACTTTCTACGTCTTATCAAGACTTCTTGATCTAGTTAGCCGGACCGGGGACAAACGGATAAGAATGGCCTATCGTGTCACTTTGCCATTGCTTTCGTTCTGTTTACCGAGTAAGGTGAACTCGTAATAGTTTCAAGCATATCATAGTGAAAAATCACATCTGCAAAGAGAATCATATCTAAAACTTCTATGTCTAGGTACAACTTAGAATCTAATGATTTAATTTCCCAAATTTAGTACATTCTCATACTCATTCTTATCATTGATATCTGTCTTAATTGCTACATAATTAAACTTCATTGTTTATGAATTTCCAAGATGATCATATCGATTCTAGAGTCATTTCTGAACATGTCCGCGAGACGAAAGTCACCAATGGTTAGAGACCTTGAACGACATGGCTCAAAATCGTTTGCGAATGGCTCAAGTGCGCATCCATTCGTTGTGCTCTCTCAAATCCTAATCTTCTGCAATCGTCTGCTCCTCTACCTTTGTCTTTCTAACCTTATCACACTGAATTATACTTCTTGAATAATATCTTCAAAACCTAGTCCTCTTAATGACCATCTTTATCACTATGGGATTTGATTTGACATTTGCGTCTCCCTGCTAATGTGGCTAAATGGCAACCTGAACTGATGTACATACGTACGAAGTTCAATGTTGCATCTGTCTGTCTGTTTGTTTGTCTGTCTGTCTGAACAAGCAGCCGACAACGACTTTCATTTTTAGATTTTTAGATAATTATAGATTGATTGAATTTTGTAAATTTTCTCAGCATACGTACATTCAGCTTTTATATATCATAAAATACATAAACGCACAAAACGATTTACAATATATATATTTTTTTGTCTTACTTTCTCCTTATAGTATTAGCTCACATGAATTACATCGATCACGTTTAGCTCGTTTACCTTTTCATCTTGGATCATCAGATAAGCTTACTTTAAGTGTCTCTGTGTATTGTTTAATTCGTCCAACACGTTTGCCTTCTCCAATATGGCTATCATCATCTGATAATAAAATTGTACGTGTACAAAGAGATTATTATAAAATTCTTGATCCTTATGGATCATTTGATCCAATGGAAGATTTATTATCATCGCATGATTTAGTACGTGGTATAAAATTGGATAATCGTTATGTATGCTTTGATAAAGATGAATTAATGGAAGCTGTATGTAATATTGCACCTGTTGGTAAGAATTGTTTTTGTTTTTTTGTTTTTTTATTTTAAATGTTTTGCGGCAATTTTAAAAATTCCCACATTGTGAATTAGAACGACTGCATTACTCCAATGTATAACAATGTTTATATGCATTTATGAACTGATTAAAACAAAAAATGCAATTTTTTGTGGAGTCAGTCAGTCAGTCACTCGGAAGTACAAATCGATAGTTTAATGATAGGTGTACTGGTTGTGATAAGAATAATGAATGAAGGCTTGGAACGATGTTTCACATAGTAGGAAGTAGGTCAATTCAACGTTGATATGTGGCTAGCGATTTTGTTCATGATAGAATAGGATATTCTGTGTAGCTAATCTCACGTCGACTTTCTCAAGTCGACCGATGTTGTCTACTCATACGAATGATAAGTTACTTGAATTGGTCGCTTCAATGTGCATTTACAAATTTAGCTGCTACTGTGGAGATAGCTAGCTACATTGGGCATCCCACTAGGTAACTTAACCGATAAATGAGTAAACATCTTCCAGTGTGGTTTGGAAAGGGTCAGATGAAAACGATTCGCAGCTTTATCTTGGCACACCTAGTTAATAGTGGTCATAATTTAGATAAAACTAAACCATTTTGAATGATCTATATAGTATATCTCCATGATTTTCCAACGGAATTCGATCCCATCTAGGACATTCCTAGATTGCTTGTCTTCGATCGTAGGTGTCTTCGAAGCATTGTTCATATATCCTGGGACAACCGAGTAAGCACAATGCTGTCGTTAGGAAATGAGTACTAGGTAGGGATGGAAATTCAATAGATGAAGTATTGAAACTTCGTCAATTGAGGTGGTTGGGACATGTGTAACAAGTGCCTCGACGAACAATGTTTTACGGTGTAGGAGTAGGTTGGGAGAAAGCTAGGGGCGTCCGAAGCATGGCACAAATCCACGAAGTCACTGACAAGTGAATTGAGTTATGTTGGTAGATGTTGGCTACCTGGTTGTTGGCCGCGAGACGTAAGTCACCAGTGGTTAGAAACCTTGAACGGCATGGCTCAGAATCGTTTGCGGTGGTACAAGTGCATTCATTCATTGTGTTCTCCCAAATTCTAACCTTCTGAATTCCTCATCATCTCTATATTTCTCTTTCAAAATTTATCTCACTGAATTATACTTCTCGAATCATATCTTGGAACCCTAATCTTCTCCATTACTGCTAACAGTCCTACTATCGTTAGCACTATGTGATTTGAACTGACAATTGTGTCTCTGCGCTAATGCAGTATGGCAACCTGAACTGATGTACTTACGTACGAAGTTCTACGTTGTATTTGTCTGTTTGTCTGTCTGTCTATCGATCCCATATCGTACATATAGCAGAAGCCATAGGAATTAGAACATTCAAACTCAATTCATGTGTTCAGAAGAAATTCGTGACACCCTCTATCCCTTCTTTGGCCATTTTTTAAATTTAGTTTTTTAAATATCATTAGCATGATTTTCACATCCTGTGTTTGTTTATAATTTTTTTTCACCTCTTTCCGTTTATATTTTTCACTATCTACTCTCTCTTCTTATTATTATTAGAGCTTTGTGATAATAATTTAATAAATCGATTTCTCCACGTTTGACCTACTAATTTCAATGTTGTGAACTATTGACAAAAATTTTTTGTTATTGTATTTTATTATTCCTACTACTATTATTTAGTACACCTGCGTCCTCCTTTCTATCAACTTGTACTTTTACGTAGTATGTGTAATTTACGTAATCCATTTCATTGTAATTAGTGACTCATAAATTACTATGATTA